TTATGTAGGGGACAGTGCCATCTGGGTCCCCACACTGAGCCCTACACCTGCTGTTGAACCAGTCTTGCGGCTGTTACCCTCCTCACTTTAGCCTTAATCCTTTGCCTCGAAGCTCTACTTGGAACTTTTTTGAGACAGGGTCTCACTATGTAGTTCTGATTATCCTGAAACACAGTGTGTAAACTCGGCTGGCCTTAAATTGTTAGAAATACACCTGCCTCCTGTGTTCTGGGATTAAAGATTATTAAACCACACTGGGTTTAGTTTGAACTTGAAACCTGCAGTAACAACAACAACAAAATTTGAGACAGGTTCTCATGTAGCCCAGGCAGCCTGGCTTCAAACTCTGTGTACAGCTGGAGATGACCCTTAGCTTTTGATCCTTCATCCTGCCCCTCTAAATTGCTGGGCCACCACACCCAGCCACTCAAAATAAATTCTGTTGTGCCTTTCTCATGAAGGGAGTCCCTGTCCACTGGTGCCTGCCTGAGGATCTCACTAAATTGCCTGGTCTAACCTTGAACTCTGTCAGTAGCTCAGGCTAGCTTCAGAAATTCTCCTGCTTCAGCCTCCCCGTTCTCACTACCAAATGTGACTGGCCTTCAGCCTTCATGGGGTTACTGGGCAACGGTGGGGACCTTGGAGGCAACATTAGACCTAGGCTCCACCCTCAGGTGACTCTGTGAGGGTATGGGCCAAGAGAACCACCCATGTGCCAAATGTATTGTTTTTGGTTTATGGTTTTGTGGGGTATTTTTCCTCTTGAAAATTCCCCTTTTCTCTGTATAGCCCTGGCTGTCCTGGAACTCACTCTGAGATCAGGCTGGCCTTGAACTCAGAGATCCTCCTGCGTGCTGGGATCAGATGCATACACCACCACCACCTGGCCTATGTGACAGATCATAAGAGTTCTCACTACACACACCACCTGCCCTGGCATAGATTGTCAGTACCAATAGACTTGGTGACTTCATGCTTAAAATCTTGGGGGAAGATAAGGCAGTAGATTGCTGTAAATTGAAGACTAGATTTCCCTGCATGGTGAACTCAAGGCCAGCCAAGGCTATGAAGTTTGACTCTAAAAACAAAACAACAGAAAGGCCCTGGGATTGTGGTCCAGTTGTTGAAAGCCGTGGGCTCCATCCTCAGCATCCCATAAATCAGGCATGGTGCTGTACAGGAAGATCAAGGCTATCGTGTGCTGTATAGGGAATTTGAGGCCAGTGTGGGTTACATGAGAGCATTTCAAAAAATTAAAATAAAAATTGGCCCCAGCACTCTGGCGCTATATATATCTTACCTAGCTGTCTCTTTTGGGGAACTGAGACACCAATTCAGGCAGGGTTAGGGTTAGCCAAGCCTGGCCAGTGTGTTCCAAATCTGAGGATAGGGTGCGGTGTTGGGCATCCTATGTTTTCTCATCCTCAGAAATCTCCCTGCTTGTCTTTGTGGGGAATTTGAAAAGGGTTTGGTCCCTGTGAGGCAGGGGCAGCTGGGAGGACCAAGCAGGGGATGGGTAAAAGAGGAAAAATAAATCAAAGAAACCCGAGGCTGATGTCACAGACTTGTGACCTGAATTGTAGCAGCTGTTGAAGCAATTGGTTGGAGGACCGGTGACCCTTGGGAGAGGCAGGGGTCAGAAGAGATTATCCGAGGGTCCTGTGGGCTGAGACAGCTGAGGGTAGGGACAGCTGAGCTGGTGGCTTTTTTTCTAAGAATAGCCACACTGGGTCCCCAAGACCCCGGAACCCCTTCTTGTGTTTTAAGCATAGAGGACAGGTAAGGTGGGGTCCTCCATGGGGCTAAGGTGGGATGGTCACCACTAAGGGCCTCACAGAGTTATGCCCATAGCTGCTTAGGCCTGCCAAGCATTTTACAGAATTGTTTTGCATTCATTTATTATGGAAGGGAGGTAGTATTCATTCTACGGCACACATCTGGAGATCAAAGGACAACTTGTAGAAGTTCTTTCCAACATGTGGGTCCCGGAGATTGAATTCAAGTCATCAGGCTCAGTGGCAAGCTCTTACCCACTGAGCCATCTCACCAGTCCAACTTTTGTTTTGTTTTGTTTCCTTTTCTGAGGTCCTGAGGATGGAACCCAGGCCTCGTGCAAGTGCTCTGCTCTGTCAGCCACACTCCCAACTTTTCCAGTGTGGACCTTGTAGATGGCAGTGGGTCCCTGAGAAAGTCAAATATTGGACACCCCTGGGTGGAAGCCATCAGATAACTGACACCCTCCAGCTCTGGCTGGCTATCCCCCAGTGCCCAGGCTAGCCCTAACTACTGCCTCTTAACTCATCCACAGGGTCTCCCCTGCACAAGCAGGCATCGGGCCCCTCCTCGGCTGGAGCCACCACCGCTGTCTCTGAGAAGCCAGGTCCAAAGGCAGCTGAAGTGGGTGATGACTTCCTGGGGGATTTTGTGGTGGGCGAGAGGGTGTGGGTGAATGGTGTGAAGCCCGGTGTGGTACAGTACCTGGGTGAGACACAGTTTGCACCAGGCCAGTGGGCCGGCGTGGTCTTGGATGACCCAGTAGGCAAGAATGACGGAGCTGTGGGTGGTGTGCGCTACTTTGAGTGCCCAGCTCTACAGGGCATCTTCACACGGCCCTCCAAGCTGACCCGCCAGCCCACAGCTGAGGGCTCAGGCAGTGATGCCCACTCGGTGGAATCTCTGACTGCCCAGAACCTATCCTTGCATTCTGGTACCTCCATGCCCCCACTCACCAGCCGAGTCATCCCCCTGCGGGAGAGTGTTCTTAACAGCTCCGTGAAGACGGGCAATGAGTCTGGTTCCAACCTCTCCGACAGCGGCTCTGTGAAGCGTGGTGATAAGGACCTCCACCTCGGAGACCGTGTGCTGGTAAGTGTGGGCAGCTCCCGTCTGGACAAACCGCCTCTTTGTCTTCTACCCATCACCCTCTCACGGATAAGCTGGACCCCAGGGGCTGAGCAGAGAAGGTACTGAAAGGGAACTTGAAGAAGGTCCAGACTGAGTCCACATTCCGCATTGGTACCACATAGAATAGCAGTGGAGAAGTCATAGACTCTGAAGCCTGTTGCTGTGTGACCCTGGGCATATGTATTAACCTTTCTGGGTCTCACTTCCCATCCGTGTTTGTCAGCTTTTTGTAGCTGTAATGAAATACCTGAGATGAAAACATGAGAGGAAATACATGAGAGGAAAGATGGGTTTAAGCATGTGACTTAGGAGGGTTCAGCTCAAAGTTAGCCAGCTCCATTGCTTTGGGTCAGGAAGGAAACAACATGGCTGAAGGGCATGGTGGGAAAAAGCTGGTAAATTCGTGGTAGCTAGAAAGAAGGAGGGGGAGATGGGGGAGTGCCAGCAGAGTGAGCAGCTTAGGGACAAGATATCAGAACACCCACAGTGACTACTTCCTGTGAGCAGGCCCCACCTCCTCACAACCCATCCAGCTGTGAACTCATCATGGGTTAACATGGATCATGGACCAATCAGTGCCCTCATGAACAGTCACTTCTAGTAGTGCCCCAGCTGAGCCTTCAACACTTGAGCTTTTCGCATGCATGCGTGCATGTCTGTGTGTGTATGTGTGTGTGTGTGTGTGGCGGAAGAGGTGGGGCATTTAAATCTAGTCCAGTTCTTACCTGTTCTTGTTTTTCATTTTGTTCTTTTGAGACAGGGTTTCTCTGGCTTTGGAGGCTGTCCTGGAACTCACTCTGTAGACCAGGTTGGCCTTGAACTCACAGAGATTCAACCGCCTCTGCCTCCCGAGTGCTGGGATTAAAGGCGTGCGCCACCACTGCCCTGCTCTTTTTTTCTTTTTAGACAGGGTCCTACCTTGTAACCCCGTCTGACCTGGAACTTTCTGTGCAGACCAGGCTGGTCTTGCTCAGACACCCTGCCCAACCATAATACTTTTTACAAAATAAGAATCTCTGACTTGGGCAGTAGCTCAGTTGGTCCAGTGCTCGTCTGGGTTTGATCCCCAGCACCCCATGAAACAACATGCTGGCACACACCTGTCATCTCAGCACTTAGGAGGTGGAGGCAGGAAGATCAGAGTTTTAGGAGAACTTTGGGCTGAGACTGGAGGACAAGATGAGCACTTCTGCCCTGCAGACCGAGGCCACCGATTTTCTCAGCCTCCTTCTACTTCATCCTAAGGCTGGCAACTGATATGGCAGTCTCCAGGGTAGAGGCTTCCAGAACTTTCTGTGGAGAAGATGGTCAGTCATCTGAGAAATTGGACAAGGCACTTCAGACTATCACCAAATATAGGGTCATGAATATTCATATCACTACAGATATTCATGTGAAGACAAATATGTGCACATGAATATTCATTGGGGGGAAAAAAAAGGCTGGTGTCAGGGAGTGAAAAATATGCTTACTGAAATAAGAAAATGCCCAGACATGTTAGAAGATTAAGAGAAGTTAGGAGTGGTGAGGCATGTGTGTAATCCCAGCATTCTAGGGAGAGAGGCAGGAGGATGGATGGATGGCCAACCTAGGCTACAAAGTGAGTATCAGTCCAACCTAGGCCACAGAACAAGGCCCTGTCTAAACAACAAAAGGCTGGGGCCATAACTCAGTTAGTAAGCACTGTACAAGTACAAGGACCTAATTTAACCCCCAGAACCAAGGTGAAAAACTCGGACTGTGGGGGTGCCTGCTTGTACCCCACATCTGGGCAGGTGAGACAGGAGGCTCCCTGGGGCTTGCTGACCGGCAGCCAAGCAAAATCTGTCAGCTCCAGGTTCCGTGGGAGACCCTGTCTCACAAACTAAGGTGGAGAGCACCTAATGTTGACCTCTGGCCTGGATGCACATGTACATATTCACATGAACACATACATACAAAGAGAAGACTTAACATACACACACATACACACACACGGTGGGACCCTGCCATTTCCAGCAAAATAAATGGAACTGGAGGTCATGTGAAATAATATATAAATAATAAAATGGAACTAAGGTCCAGTGAAAGTAACACAAATACGAGGAAAAGTTCTTGTTTCCCAAGCAGGGTAGATGACAGTCGCTCATGATAGGATATATTCACTCTCTCACACACATATGCTCACACACACACACACACACATTTGGAATAATACCATTAGCCTGTTGTGTATCTAAGGCTGGCCTTGAACTCCTGATCCTCCTGCCTCCATCTCCTGAGTGCTGGGGTTGGATTCCAAGGCCTCCTGCGTGCTGGCTGAGCAGTCTACCAGCCGAGAGCTGCAGCCCCAGCACCCTCTAATGTATTTATCACGAACACTGGAGGGGTCTTCAAAGACTCCCTATTAAAAAAAAAAAGATGAAAATGTCAGGGAATAGAAACAATAGTTTGAACAGTGCACATTGTAGACATATGGACACTGTACACACAATCATATTGTACCCATTTCTAAGTACAGCTATTGTCAGTTTAAAAAAAAATGAGGATCGCTGAAGTGTGAACTATTCTTATGTGTCAGTTAAAAATACATTAAAAGTTTAAAAGAGAAGTTGCAGCAGAAGCCTGCTGTTTAGAGAGATGGGCATGATTACGGAATCCTTCCATCGGGAGCGGAAATGGTGTTTATTTTGGGGGAAGGAGAGAAGCTTCTGGACTTTGAAAGGTGCACTGCTACAGTTTTGATGGTCATGTAAGACCATCAGAAAACCCAGATATTTACATTATAATTCATAACAGTAACAAAATTACAGTTATGAAGTAGGAGTGAAAATGATTTATGGTTGGGGAGTCATCACAGTATGAGGGACTGTGTTAAAGAGTTGCAGCATTAGGAAGGTTGAGAACCCCTGGTGTACTGGTTAATTGGTTTGGTTTGGTTTTGTACTGGTTAGTTTTTTTTTTTTTTAAAGATTTTATTTATTTATTATGTATACAACATTCTGCTTCCATGTGTATCTGCACACCAGAAGAGGGCACCAGATCTTATAATGTATGGTTTTGAGTCACCATGCTGGGGGTTTGGGACACAAG